AATTATAGCATTATACGACTTTTTTTAGTCGTATAGGCGTGGAGTTCAACGTACAAAGCGCTGATCACTGGAGGTTTTCTCTATTTTCACCACACGCCAGAAGAGCAGTCATACGCCTAACCATAGCCACTTGTGTGCTGCCGAAGTCGATGAAGCACTTCTTGTGTGCCCCAGCTCGCTTATTCTGGACGTGTTCATGCTCTACATCTCGACTTCGGCAGCGTACAAGTACGCACCCTTCGATACCTGCTCACCGAGCGAACTTCCTTGGTGGAACCTCATTTACTCCTTTGGCACTCATTCTCCAATTCTCCGAAGTTCCTATTGTACCAGTTCGCCAGATCGTTAGTAGTAATTTCCTCTTTCGCGCGTTCTGTTGCTCTTTTGCGTCGCAAAAACCCACTTCGCAAAGTATGAAGGGCCCTGAGGTTGCGTTTATTCTTTGTGTCAGCGTTTTGAGCACTTTGAGAGACTAGGAATGTAGATATAAGTCCAGCGAGCCTCCTTACGGCAGGATTTTGAACTACGCCGGCTTATGTCGACGTCAGCAGCGTTTTGAATGTTTTCGCGGAAAACTCGGAATTTTCGTGAGCACTCGCTGGAACAAGATTATAAGTTCAGGTTGTCAGGCCACGTACAGTACCCCCGAAAATTGCGCGTGAAGTTAAAAATGTCGCGTCGTGAACGCACACAATCGGGCGCACCGTAATCGGTTTAGTTACCCAAGTTTGAGGTGCGTTTAATAGCTTCAGTTATACGGCTTTTGCATAACCGGCTGATGTACGTTTCATCTTTGACGTCAACCCAAGCGCGCGCTCGCGGCACCTGCCCCGTGGCCAGGCTACAGTACTCTACGCCTAAAATAAGTGGTCCGCTTAGAGCTGCATAAAACATTTTGCTTATGTTTTGCTGGAATTCGTTTACCATTGCGGCTTGTGAAGAATTGCAGTATGAATCTAGATCTAACAGAGATTGTTGTTGTTCTCCTAAACTCAACAGTTCTTTCCCTCGAGAGCTCTCTAAAACTGAGCGAGTCAAAAGTGTCTCCAAACCACATGTCAAACGGAAATTTTCGCGCGCCAGACATATAACAAACAGCTCTTATAACAGCGGTTTTGTGCACACAATACCGAAGATAGGTTGTAGGTATCTTCCTGCGCTGAAATCCAACGCTGAGTGGCAGAACTTCTAAAAATGGTGGCACCCGACGGGATGTAGTCCCTAAAAAAACAGAAGATGCACTTGGTGTGCTCAAGTTTCCGGTTGCACCTCAGGTTTCATGTGTTTCCTAATCGAA